ACAATACGACTTAATTATGTTGGTATTTCCAAAAAAAAGGAAGAAAGAAAATCAGTCCGTTTTAAAAGGTGAACTGCATTTGCAAAAGTCCAGTTAAATTCCAATAATAAAAAGGAAAAAAAAACCTGTTTGACTTTGGCTTAAATTTGCTGCTTATTTTCCTCAGTCTTCAATTTTAATTCTAAATTTCCTCATCTAGGGTGTTCTCTCAAATAAAATAAAATAAAAAGTTCTAACCAAGACGACACACCTCTCTCCTGCCCTTGCGCTCCAGAGCTGTCAACAGTTTCAGCAGTCTTAATGGCTGCCTCACAGCTGCCGGCAAAAGGGGCTTTTCCCAGATCACCAGAGTCTTTGTGATGTCTCTGGGATCAGCAGGTTGCGCCCCTTCCGCTCATCATCTCTATGGGACGGTTTATGTCCGGATGGACCATCCAGCGACCAGGATATCGATGGTGATCTTGGAGTTCCAAGATCACCTGTCATTTCACCACGACGTCAGCTCCGCCTCCTCATTCCTCTATGCTCCTTAAGCAACTATATGTACCTCATCAGGATCCCGACCTAGATGGAATGACTTGCCTTGACCAATACACAACGCTGCAGCATATTGTTCGAAAGCTACCAGAACAGTTAATTGAAGAATGGATCAAAGAATATTCGCTTTACAGAGCAAACAATCAAGAAAAAAATCTTCCCTTTGCCATCCTTGCAGATTTTGTTGACCAACAAACAATGACGCACACCGATTCTCGAGTTCAAGGCTTTAGAAGGCCAGGGTCCCCAGGGGGCAAAAAACATGTTCAGAACTGTAGATCAACTAACAGTTCCGTTCAAAACACTAGAGAAAAAACCTTTGTGGCTGTACACAAAACACAAGTCTCCAACTCCACCAGGAACAACTTAGATGTGCAATCGTCAAGGACAATTCCAATTAAAACCCCAACAACAAGCAAAGACACATTCTTTCCATTCCACAAGTCTTCCCACTCTTTGAACAAGTGTAGAGAATTTGGAAAGAAGCCCGTGGAGGAAAGGAAAGCTCTAATTAGGGAGTGCAAAGTCTGCTATAAGTGTTGTGATTCTACAGAACACATAGCCAAAGCATGTACAACCAAGGTACAATGTCACCTTTGCAAGAGTGTCAGACACCCAGGTGCCCTATATCCAAATTCCGAGATGATTGCTCACTGCTGACCCTCCTCCAAACAAGGAGACTTCACATGACACCAAAGCGCACCCAGAAGCTACCACAGACGTGTCAGGTGCACCTCAGTATGTGGTGGTTCTCCGTCACCTCACACATGCCACTAAATCTGCCTAGCCAAAGTCTATCCTGCTACATGCCCAGAAGAAGCTATGAAGATGTAATCCTAGACATGCAAAGCAATAAATCGCTAGCAAGGTCAGCATTCTTCAATCTCTTTGACGTCCAAAGCAAGGAGACGGAACTCATGCTATCAATGTGCACTGGGTTCCAGGGCACGGTGGGGAGGAAAGTCGATGGACTCTGCATGGAGGCATTAGATGGGAGTGCGCAGTTCCCACTGCCATCAATAATAGAGTGGGGTGACCTATCAGATGATTGCAGTCAGATTGCGACACCAGAGTTAGCAAACACCATACCCCACCTCAGACATATGACTAATCACTTTACCGCCCTGGATCCTGAAGCCGAAATAATGCTCTTGCTGGGAGCAGACACCTCTGCACCTTTCGTTCCGCAGGAAGTGGTCGAGAGCCCAATGGATGCCCCATTCGCCCAGAAGACAAGACTTGGTTCGGTCATCTTTGGAAAAGTGTGTGTCAATCGGCTGCAAGTCTCAACCCAGGTGAATGTCTTCACAACTTCTACTCTCAGTAATGGGAGAACATCCCACTTGAAACCATACCAAGAACATTTTACGACCTCATCGATCAAGCCAGTTTTAGGAGCAACAGTGTTCCAGACCAGCAAAGAAGATGATGACTTGGCCTTGTCGATAGAGGACAGAGAATTTCTGAGGCTCCTGGACAAGGAATTCCAACAGGATGCTACTAAGAGTTGGGTGGCCCCACTACCTTTTTGCATACCAGGGCAACGTCTTCCAAACAACCATGAGCAAGCTCTCTCTCGCCTCTTCAGTCTGAGACGACTCATGAACAGGAAGCCTGCTATGAAAGCTCATTTAGTAGAGTTCATGGACAAGATGGTCCAGAACAGACACACAGAACTTGCTCCATCCAACAGTGAGGAAGTGCTAGCAGCCTTCAATCCTGAAGACCATGGTAAGGGATTGCAGGACACTTGACTTTGGCACAGATACCCCCTTTATCCAAAGCGGTCTTTGTTGGGACTTGAAGAAGGACATCTTCAAATCCCCAGCTCAGAAGACTGCTTTCACAAGAAGAGGAGTCTTGTCAACAGTAAACAACCTGTTTGACCCCCTAGGATTTGCTGTACCTGTAACGATCCAGGGGAGGCTCCTACTGCGCACACTCTCTCAAAACACCAAAGATTGGGACGAGCTGCTTCCGCAAGAGCAGAAGCAAGAGTGGGAGACATGGTGAGACTCTCTGAGTTGTCTCCAAAGTGCTCAGGTGCAGCATATGTATGTTCCCATCTCGCCCGCCGCCACAAGGAAGAAAGAACTGCATATATTCTCAGATGCGTCAACAAAGGCAATAGCAGCCGTAGGATACATCAGGGTCTACAACAGGGAGAATGATGTTCACGTCGGTTTCATCATGGGAAAGGCGAAACTAGCACCACAACAAGGTCACACCGTGCCAAGGTTGGAACTCTGTGGTGCCGTGCTGGCTGTGAAGCTTGCAGACCTGATAACAAAGGCAATGGACCTTGAGCTGCAAGCCACCACCTTCTACACAGACAGTAAGGTGGTGCTGAACTATATCCACAATCGAAGCAGATGCTTCTACATCTATGTCAGTAATAGAGTAGACAAGATCAGAAAATCCTCAAACCAAGAGCATTGGCGGTATGTACCGACAGATCAGAACCCAGCAGATAATGCCACATGCTCTGTTCTTGCCCCTCAGCTGGCAGAATCGATCTGGTGGAGGGGCCCAGAGTTCCTGGCCTGCCCAGACACCCCAATGTCGCAGAAACCAGAACAATACAAGCTTCAAGACCCAGATAGTAGACCAAGTCCTACCCAGTAATGATAGATTAGTTCGCCAGGTGGAAGTTCAAGTTGTGAAACTGCTGGAGTCAGGCCGCGATCAGCAGACTTCCACCAAGAAGCTGTACACCAGACCAATCACCGACCTAGTACTGCTGCTACGGAAGACTGAACTAGAAGATTGAATCTCAGGTTTTGCCTGCTTTGTGTTTACATCATTGTTTGCAATGTTTGATGCTATGCCTTTGTGTAACTCAGTTAATTAGTTAGTTAGGTTTGCATGTTGATGTTATGCCTCTGTTTATCTTAGTTAATTAGATAGTCAAGTTTGCATTGTTTTATGCCATGCCTTTGTTTGTCTTTAGTTAAAAGTTAATTGATAGTGGAATTTATAATTCCAGGCGGGGAGTGTGCTGCCCAAGCAGTATATAGCTAGTGTAGGAATTAACAACTGTCTCCTTTAAGAAACTACCTCATGTGAAATGTATACCCTTACTTACTTGTGACGAGCCGATTGACAGATGATGGAAACAGTTAGCTTCCTCCCATAATTGGGGCTTACCAGGGGTTGTAAAAATCATATATATATATATATAAAATCATATACATATGTGTGTGTGTATATATATATATATGTGTGTATGTGTATGTGTATGTGTATGTGTATGTGTATGTGTATGTGTATGTGTATGTGTATATGTATATGTATATGTATATGTATATGTATAT